CAGGATAGGATGAAAACTTTATTGATCCCCAGAGGGGGAAATTCGGGTGTTACAGCAGCACAGAAAAGAAAGCTCAAAAATACACATTAAACAGAATAGATAAGATAAATAAAAAAATAAATGAGTTAAAAATAAATTAAATTAAATTTAAAAATTTAAAAAAATATTAAAAATTTAAAATTTAAAAATTTAAAAAAATTTAAAAATTAAAACAGGGGGTGTATACAGTACAAAATGAATGATGAAGTTAACTGGGGGGAATTGAGAATTGAGACAGTATTTGCAGAGAATGACACTAAACATCCTTAATTAAAGATATATATATTCGGGTGTGGGTAAGTAAAAGCACGGGGACAACTTCTGCTGTGCGTCTTAGACTTTTAATGTCCGTCCGTAACAGAGCATGACATATCCAGACTGAACAACAACATCAGCGACACCTTACTTATCTTAAAGCAATATCACTCCTCCAACCGTAACCATGGGTAACCTTAAAGGCAAAGTGCATCATATCAAACAGATACTCGTGTAAAGTACAAATTGTAAATATAAATTAAATTAGCATTAAATGAAATAATGTATATTATCTCAACCTGAGAAAAATAAAGATCTATAAAATAAAACTTTACAAAAATAAATCTCATCTCCATCTTACAATAGCCTAGTTGTAAAGTTGTAATTGTAAAGCAGCCTACAGCCTTTTGTATTTTGTTGCTATGGCCTACTCACAGAAGAAGTGTTTAATGTTTTCATTGCAGCAGAACATTTTGGGATATGTCCTTTTTTCAGGAATAAGTCAAACCCTGAGGCGTGAGCAGGAAAACAGAGTTAATGTTAACTACAGGCAGCAGTATGCCTTATCCTGTTTAGCAATCGACCGTGGTATAAGGTAAATGATGCACTTCAAGGTGTTCTTCATGAAGGGACTTTAGACTCTGAAAAACAGCTGTCCTGATCTCCTCTCCGTCCATAAATTCCTGATACCTGACCTGACACCTTGTTGGGTGTCATTCTTTAAATACAAAACTAACTACCACTGTCTGTTGCTCTTTTTCTCCTCTAGTTGAGCTCAATGACTACAAGTCTCTCAGAGCAAAGATGTCCTGTGGTCATACTGTGACTCCAACGTCTCTCATCGACTGGTGTCGCAGGCAGCTGGACGAGGTATTAGAAAACTATTATTTTGTTATGTTTCTCCACATTTTTCAAAACTGGAAAACAACTATTAGGTTGATTGTCAGGCTTGTTCTAGAGCTATGGATCTTATGAACTATGAGCAGTAGATTTAATTTTTATTTTTTGTTTGAATCCACTTCGTGTCTCTTAAGGCATGAGGATTTTAAGTGTCTATTATTTGATAACATTAAGGACTTCTTTTCAGCTCTTCATCTGTCACTTAATTCATGGTGGTAAAAAAGTAAGCAAAAGTGGCAATTAAGTACATTTGATTGATTTTCTCTTTAATTCTCAAGGGTAAGATGGAGTTTGTTTGTGGCCAACCTAAATGTGATGCTGTGTGGTCATTTGAAGATGTTTGCAAAATGGCTCTGCTGACTCCTGCAGAAACAGAGAACATTGACAAAAGACTGTTCAATTTAGCCAAAGATAATTTGGGTGCCAAAAAAGTAAGTATCTACCAATCACAGGTTCTAAGAGATATTGTGCATTCATACTGAAGATTTTTTTATTATTTGTTTGATTTTCAACCAAATTCACTCAACAGTGTCCCGGCTGTGAGAGTTTAGTGGTGAGAGAGGACCAGAATGACCTGAGGGTTTGCTGCACAGTGTGCACACGTAACAAAGCAAGGGCTTACGAATTCTGCTGGCAGTGTTTGAAGGAATGGACAGGTCCATCTGAACATGACGACCACTGTGCAAACCCTGAATGTGTTAATCAGCCACTGGAAATCCTGAGAAAGTGTCCCGAGATCACCTTAAAGGATGTTAAGATGGTGACCAGCTGTCCCTCTGTCCGTGCCTGTCCCACCTGTGGGTTGCTGATCGAGCACAGCACAATTCACTGCAAAAGCATCGTCTGTACCCGGTGTAAGAAGAAGTTCTGTTTTGTGTGCTTGAAGCTCTCTGCAGTCTGTTATTCATATTACAGTGCTTGCACTGATGGTGTCGCCCCAAGACAGACCTCTATACCAGTATGGAAGAGGAAATAAGATGACGTGTGAAAGAATTAACAATGCTGTAGTTTATTTTTCTGTGGGGGGATGTATTACAGCAATGTAGCAGACTGTCACTTTAGCATGTATCTTAAGTAGGAAAACTGTCAATGTTAAACTTGGTGCAGCCTGATCAAATGCCAGCAGGGTTTCTTTCGCAAAGCTGCAGAATCAAACAGTGTAAAGAACAAACTAGTTCAACTCTATAAAGAGCCTCATTTCATATCACAAGCCATTCTGCTGCATTTATATGAGTTACAATCTAGATCACAGAAGTAAAAGGTAAGCTTCTCACTCTGAGCATGACATCATGGGAATATGGTGAATTACCCTGCCTGTGACACATGTCCATGTGTAATGTAGATTATTAAATGCAACAGAATATAATCAGTTATGGTTAAACAGCAGTTTTCAGCCAAATGTATATTTTTATGAATAGCAACACAGTATTCAGTAAAGACCGAATTTATTGGTATATTCTGATCTCAAGCCAGTTTGTGAAGGTGACAGTGTTTGAGGACTGTTTGGACTTTTTCAGGGAGCCATATGGGATCTGCTTTAAAATTAGAAGGGGAGCTTGAAAACTGCCAACAACTGGTTTGAAAGACATTCACTGAGTGCAATCATTATTTTAAAATATTTCATACTGACTTCAAGTTTTATCTCTTTCACCATCATGGAAATAATTGGAGCGATAGTTAAGAAAATGGAGCGCTTAGTGATTTATTTGATTCTCAAGACACATTGAGCATCCATAATTATACAGTTTATTTTACACAATGACAGTTTATAACTCAGGGATTACTACTTCTTGTAATATTTTGCTAAGTGGTGGTAACACAAAAAGGTGTCTGTATTCTACCCAAACTTCTCTGTACATGTGTTAGAATTGGGAATAATATTATGCTCCAAATTGAGTTTAATTTCACTTCATTTATCATTTTCATCTTAGTTTTTCTGTTAGGGTCATACATATATATATATATATATATAGATACTGTTTTTTGGTTTGGCCATGTTTCCTCATTATGTTTTTTTGGTATCATTTCTGATCAATATAATGTATGTAGGGTGAGAAACCAGCTGATTGATATTTTTGAGCTGCGTTTGATCACAGCAGATTATCTTTATGATTTTCACATTACTCTGTTCAATTAAAAATTGTCATAAAAAGGCATTTTGTCTCTGACTGAATAACTCTACAATTACAACGCAGCCTTCAGATAAATTACCAAGAAGAGACAAACAAAATTATTGAACAATTAAAGTTTATAAAGCCGGTTTTAGAGGCTGTGTTTCCTACAGATTATTGTGTTCATCTGTGCTGGTGTGGATCCTGATCCTGCAGGAGCAACATTTTCTGTAAGACACCAAGACTGCAGCCAGGAGACACACGGCAGCAGTGATGCTGAGAGATGTTTTGACACCGAAGGACAAAGAGGTCCAGGTCTGGGCTGAAGTTAAAGTCCCATATGGATCTCTGACCAAAAAAGAAATACAGTGAAGTTAGAACGAGCTCAAAGTTGATAGAAAGTGCGAGTGTTGTTGCTTGTTTAGAATCACAATCACCTGATGATGGAAGCAGGAAATGTATCGACGGCGTCTGAAGGAGGAGTGATGTCAGAGTACACACACAACCTCCTGTCAGGACAGGAAACTGAACCCTGGTATCCTTCAATCTGACCGTAAAAAAACACAAAAGATATTAGATTACATCTGGTTACATTAAATAGACTGCACATTTAACACAAGACATGCTTCACTACATACAAACATTATACTATTACTTTAGAAAGGCAATAAATCAGCTGCTGTTTTTAATGGTGCACGGTGTTTAAATATGGGAATTACTCAGATTGAGTAACCTGTTTTGTCATTCACACCAAATCTTGTCTAAATGTAAATTATCAATCTTTAAAACTGTTAACAATTAAAAGCTTCTGTTTCTGTATTTTTTTTATGTCATTACCTGAATGCTTCCCCCTGCTGGACACTCCACCCACTCAGAGCCTGACAGGTGGATTTGGTACCTGTTTGGTCCAGTACACCTGTGTCTGTAACAGCGCCCCTCCACTGTGCTGATGAACGAAGGAAACTGACTCCGGTTCTAAACAAGAGACAAGTGAAGAAAAAAATGACTTTATAATCAACTTAATATGAGAGGGAAATAAAACACATTAATACACTCACATGCACGCGTGAAAACACACGTGTACACACCTGTCTGGTCAGACTGGAGAAGAAGCATCGGCTGTCAAAACCAAGGATCTCCCCAGTCGAGTCCGCTTCAGCTGACCGCCTGGGGTTTTCCTTTTTCCAGCACTCACTCTGAAGGGAAAAGGTGGAGAGGGTAAACGTGACGCTCATATGAACATAAAAAAAGACTGAAAGCGTTGGCATGAAAAATACAATTGATCCCACAAAGCTGTTTTACATCATTTGAAATTACTACAGAGCAGGAAATACTTCTTACTCCATTTTTGAGGGGTTTATACACACTGCATCCCTCCAGGTATTGATCAGTCTTGCACTCCCCTTTGTGGAGGTGAAGGTAATGACACCCAAACCCACTGAGAAGAAGAAAAAACGCAAACATTTAGTGCTGAAAATGTAACATTTTAAATTAAAAAGTGGCTTACATTCCTATCCAGACTATATGTTGTAGAGATAAACAATTATAACTTAATATACCTGCCAGAGCAGAAAAACGATGAGGATTTGTTCTGACAGGTTGACAGGGATCCAAACATGGCCCCTTCTCCTACAAATCAAACATTTATCATATATTTTATGTTTTATTTATTTATTTATTTATTCTTTTTCTATACTTACCGTTTCCCCACACCAGACTCTGTGCCCTGCTCACGTCTACATTGTACCAGCCCGTGTCCTGTAATGCAGCCAAGGTTACCGGGTCGATCCGGACTGAAGATGAGTCCGCTAGCTCTGCTGCCATGATGGAGCCCTGAAAGATCCTGGACTCCCAGTGTGAGGACACTTTGCCAGGAAGTACACCCTGCATTAACAAAGTAGAAGATCATATAAGGGAGGCCTCTTGACAAATCTGGTTAAGTTGGAGCGGTTCTGCAGCTCTGCTAAAGGATTTGAATTGAAGCTCTGTTCTGTACAAGGTTCTCTAGCCATCCCCCAAGCTCAGGATCAGTGGAGTTCAGGTGCTTCTGCAGGGCTGAGATGACAGATGGGGTGTAAATCCTCATGTGGCCGGATCCGTCAGAGTAGGTCACTTTCCCTTGAGGAGAACAGTCGGCACTCTCAGCTAAAAAATAAAAAAACAAGAACAATTTTTCCTCCAGGGTTAAAAACACTTGTGAAGTCACATGGATATCTAAGCACACTTTGAAGTATACTTAAAGATTTCAATGTTTTGTGTACTGTAAAGTTCACACCTAAATTGCCACATTTTGAGTAAATCAATTGAAGTGGGCATTTTGAAGTATATGTCAAAGTTAACAATTTAAAGTATACTTCAAAGTTTTCACTTTTAAGGGACCTTCAAAGTGTACACTTTAAGTGCTCTTAAAAGTTCAATCTTAATCCAAAATTCTTATTACACATTTTTTTAGGTCCTACTTAAATGCACACTTTAAGGGAACTTTGAAACAAAATTAAAAGCTTTTTTGTGAACTTCTAATTACACAATTGTAAGGTCACTTTACTGCCACACATTAAACAGTACTTAAGAGAGCACACTGTTAAGGGAACTTTAAAGTTTCAACTTAAGGTCTCTTCAAAGTGACATTTTTAATAGCGCACATTTTGAAGTGCCCACTTCAGAATGCCCTATAAAGAGCACACTTTTAAAGGCACTTCAGAGTTGTTAAGGGCACTTAAACAGCACACTTTTAAGCCCACTTCACATGCTGACCTCAAAGTATTATATAATCACATAAAACAATTATGTTAAAAAAAAAACCTTGAGACATGGAGGAACAGTCTCGCCAGGTGTGGAAGAGCTCTTTAGAGAAACCCAGCACATGAAACAGCTCATGGATCACAGTCTGTAACATGAACACACAAGATTCAACACACAATTTCAAACTACCGAGAACATTTTTGTTTTTTTCATATTTAAAATAATACCTGTACAGCTGCCTGGTGACTAAACGTTTCTCCTTTCAGTCTTTCCCTGCAGATGACCACCACCCCGGCCACAGGTCGTCCAAGTGCATCTGTCTGGCAGTGAGCAGCGTAGGCCAAAATATTAGGCTTAGGGGGCAAAAGGACGCAAGGATGAGTATAATGAAATCATCAGCAGTTAAGGAAAGCTTCATCTTTCATGATTGTCGATTCAATTGCAAAATAAGAAAGTGTGTATGTTAAGTTACCTATATCAAAAGTAACCATTCAGCAAGATCAACTTTGTTATCTAAATAGGTAAAATTACGGAATTAAATCTTAAATATTCCCTTTTGAAATGATGTGACAATGAGAATTAATGTGATGATTTTTTTTTCTTTACTTGGAGGAACTTTAACTTTAAAATGGAGAATATGTCAATATATGCTGTTACAAATATTTTAGGGGTGTAAAAAAATCTATGTAATGACTGATAAAGATTTGATGAAAATAAAAAAGACAAACGTCAGTCAATCTCTTTTTCTTTTCTGTAATTTTTATATTGTCCTCTGCTGCCACCCTGAGGAATTTTTCAGGAATTTGTTTTTATCAAAGACAATTGCTCATGAAAACTTTTACCTATCAAACAGCTGAAATCTGATAACATCTACCAAAAAGAAAGTTTTACCATAATCAATATGATAGATCTCAAAGTTTTCAGCGTGTGTGTACCTTTGCTCTGCACTTGTCAGTGGACTTTATGTGAAGGTACAGCAGGAAGTCCGTGTCAGCGAGTCCTGCACCTCCAGGACGGAGCTCAGTCCTGTGAGGTGAATCAGCATGAATGTAAATATCACATCCAGCAAGATGATCGTTTGGGATCTGTAGACAGAGTTGAAAAACACATTTCATTAAGTGTAGTTCAGGGACAAACAGCAGAAACAGCTACATGCTTTAATGATACTTACTGTCACATCCAGACAGGTCTCAGTTCTGTAGTTGCTGTTGGCTCGACCACACCTGAGGCACGAATTGTAGGTTTACCACATGTATGGAATTGTGAATAGACAGTAAACATAGGACTATAAGATTGAACAAATACATTTATAAAATACTTTACTGTATTTCCAAAAGAGAAAGTGTGACTGTTGTTTGACTGCAAACTTGACTTTAGAGCATTTCTACATCTGGAGTCCTCTGTGCATTTAGGATCTGCATAAACACAATCACAGCCTTTCTATGTACACACCTGTTGTAGTTGGCAGTACTTGAATTCCTCCAGAGAAACTTGCAGTATTTGTTAACATCTCTGCTGAGCAGCAACGGACCGACAACTCTGTTCACTATGAAAGGTCGAGAATTCATAAAAAGAACTTGTTAGTGTATGTTATGACATATTTTCCTGCTGCCTTTTCAGCATGAATACTGATCAGTAGGGGGAGCTCTTCCTGCTCAGAGAAACATTTACTGTGTGGACTGTTTGTCACCTGACAGTAAAGAGGAGACCGTCCTCACAGCCTGCTCTACCGCTGCTTCCGTCCTCTTCTTCTCAGCCTCTGATAGGTTGTTGCTCTCTTTTGCAATCCAGGTCCGGATCCTGATTGGCTGGGGGGAGGAAGCAGTAGGCGGGGCTTTCTCCTTCAGGCTCTTCCTCAGATGTGATGCCCTCTGTCCTGTACGGTCTGTGGGTTGAAGTAGTCCAGGCTCTTTGGCTGCAGCTTGGACCATTGTCACCTTGTCCTGAACCTCATCAAAGATGCACTTCGGCTGAACCCCAGTTAGCTCCAACACCACCAACACCACCAAAACCAGCATCCCCACCCAGAGTCTCTGGGAGGAAGGTGAAACCATAACAATAGTTGGAACTTATTTCAGGGTGGATGATTTATTAGTTGTTGGACATTTTGGTGCAGTCGTAGGATATGTTTTCACAAAGAGAGAGGTTTAGTCCTGAGTGTAGTGGATTAAACTAAGCTGTGATAGTGACACTTGAACTCATCAGCAGCCTTTGGGGGGGGTTCAGGTAAATACAGTGAATGATATGAAATGATGCTAAATTGGATTATTAGTACTCCTGGATTGTTAGTACTCCTTGTCTTAAGTATGATATTTTTATTAAATTAGCCTATTGTAGTTATTAAATGTGGAGAACACAGGTATTCAAGGACTGGGAAGGTTGTAACAGCCTTAAATAAGTTATATTCTCCGGTTTAAACTAGGACTGGGTGGTATGGCCAAAGAATAAAATCTGACATTTTTTCACTCCAAACCCAATTTATGAATTTAGGTTGCTTTGATTTTATCAATACATTACAACAAATGCAGACTGAATTTCCCTTCAAGGGTTAATAAAGCAGCCTGAATTTGTCTTGAGGGGTTAAAGTGCAAGCTGTAAACTTGTCTTAAGAAGTGCAGTTTCAGGGTACAGCAAAAGTAAGGATGAGGCAGCGCAACTTATGCAGCTGGTTACCGGGGGCAACCCAGCCACTCTGTTGACAGTAAACGAGGGGAGAGGATGTGAACTACAGGAAACCGAGGGAATGTTTCATTCATAAAATGGATTAATCGCCCAGTCCAAGTTAAAACATACGTTCTGAGTTTAATATGTTCAGATGTATTCCTTTTTAAGAGCAGACATAATTAATTCAGTAATGAATTCACATTTCCCTACTACAACGATACTCCTGGTAGCATGAAAAAAACAAAAAACATAATTCAGACATTTTTGGGTAAAAAAAAACCAACAACTAAATATGGACATAAAGAGAACCCTAATTGATAATCTCATGAAAAACAGATTTCCTTTCTGAGTAACAGAAGCAGACCACTGATTTCAAATTCAAAAACATGTATAATTTTGCTTACCTTAGCAGGAAGTCTGAAACTAATTATTACTGATGTGAAATGCTACTTGAAGGCCTTTTTTCCCTTTGGGCTCCAATTCAAATGGCTTTGCTGTGGCGACGAGAGCAGCTGTTAGACTTTGTGTTACAATAAGAACATTTTAATTCCAATAGTCTTTTCCTGCAGCTTTAACAAACAAATACAAAATATATCCTTAAAATTACCTTTCAAGTGAATGTCTCCGTCCATGCATGTAGTCTCACTCTTCAACATATCGGCTCAGTTCATCCTGTAAATGTGACCGCCTGTCCTGCTTTTCTTCCACCTCTTGTCAGGAGCTCTTTCAGGAGGCTGTGAATCTCAGTGGTCGTTTCGAATACAAAGCACAATACACTGAGTGTCAGACGTCATTAACACACAACACCCATCACGTAAAAGTGCAAATTGTTTAATCTCAGCCACATTTTTTTTTACTTATTTACAGTGAAGTTGACCCTAATAAACCATAAAATCACTTTCTCTCTTTATTACCTCGAAACATTGGTGATTCAAAACGTCTGGCTAATCACTGTCGACCCAAATACATTCAGCAAAGTAAAACGGAACTTAAAAGAAGAGAATTAACTTGAAATAAAAACAACATCAATTGTCCAATAACACACATGGCACACCATGAATCTGTTGTGTCAGAATATGACAGAATGTGATCGATTCCCCTCAAGGGTTGAAGATTCAAGTTGAGGTTATTTTGTGAAATCAGGGCCCTCTTTAATCACTCGGGCGCCTCATCTTCCTGTACACACTACAAACACACACACACACACACAACCTATAACCAGGCACCAGATTGTCTTTTTGACACATTGTCTTTTTTGTAGATTACATACATTCACTTGGGAAAGGTACATCAGTGTGTATGCGTCCCAAAGAGTTATTGCAGAGTAGACATGCATTTCGTTTTTGTTATAATAAAGCCTGTTGTGTCAATGCGTGCTGTGATGTGAGAAAAACGTGCCTCTGTGTGTTTTTCCGGTGTGCAGTGTGGGTATCAGGGCTCAACCAAATCTCCTCAAAAGGCACTTAAATCGGGGAAATGATTCATTTTGATGTAATAGCCGGTGATAAAACATGTGACCGGATGCGGGTGGCTGAAGTACGTGGAGACAGTCCACATCTACAAACATACTCCACTGTCGACGTAAGACTCAAATGCATCTGCATTCACACAGATGCAGTCATACAAAACACAATATTTTCCATCATATTCTCTAAAATAAAATAAAAACTCGAATCATTCAATCTGACAGCAGCCTGCCTCAGTTTCAGGATAGGGAAGATTCCTCTGTGCAAAAGTTTACCTTCAATGTGCAGCCTAGCGTTAATTAAGTGCACATCCAACACTCAAAACGTACGTCAGGTCAGCCATGCTTTTCGTCTAAAACTTTCTCAATGTGATCTCTCTTTAAAAAAGAAAAAAAAAAAAAAAAAGTCAAATACTTGATTCCATAGGTCAACAAATCAATTTCAAAAAGGCACCAGACTTGCACAGTGCGGGCGAGTCTCGCTGTGGGCCACTCCTGTGCGCAAGTTCAAACAAACGTGGAAAGACTGGGGTTCAATCGACCGCATCCACACGGCCGCCATTTTCCTGTGACATCACGCTCAGGGTGGGAGGCTCCCATGCTGTTTTGGCTTTCTGCTGAGATCCAAGGTTGTGAAGTGTACAAGTGTAGGAAACCTGACAAAACATCCACATTAGCTAGTATTAGCCTGCTGTTTACCTTTATAAGAGAACGTTAGCATTCAGCAACTTCCAATTAAATGTTAATGTTTGCTTAAAAACAAAAAAAAAAAATAGCTTAAAAACTAAAATGACCATTTAAAAGAGTTAAAAAAATAAAACAGGAAATGCATACACAGACTTCGCTAGCTTAGAAATGGCTGAAGGCTAACAATACATTTAAAATGATAATAAATGATGAACAAGCCATAAAAAGACCAAAAAGCTTCAGTCAGACAACAGCACACGTTAGCATCCACTCACTCCCTGCTAGTGTTGCCGTGCGCCTAAAGGTGACGTTAGCATACGCTTCCTCGTCAAAGGTAAAGTAAGGTAGGAAGTGGATGACTGCTGACATTACAGATGGTCAGTTGTGCTTTTCCCCATCACATCTTAGGACAGCGGTCAAAATGTTTAACTAGCATTCAGTTACATCTTAGCTATCAGTAATATATGGAAGGAGTGACTCAGTGCTAATGTTAGCTGTTGTCTGATGGTAGCTTATTTTAATTTGTAGTACAGCCAATGATTCTCTAAATATTTCTAGCGATTGTTTTATATTTTGTGTCTTTTTTCCTGCGTTTCCACAACATGTGACCTAACAGCATGTTGAACTTCCTGCCCAGCCTTTGACAGCAGAGGAAAATGGACGCCATATAAATATGGTCAATTATAATCGGTGAGTGAAGATGTCAAAGGAGGGGTGTTGGGTGGGGGGGGGGTCACTGGGAGTCATTCAGGTGAGCATGGGCACATCGTCCTCTGAATTGGTGTCTTCGGACAGAGGGATGAGCAGCACCTCGTCGTCTGACGAGGACGAGGAGAAGGAGGGCGAGGCAGAGAGGGGCATGGAGTTGCTGGAGGACGAGGAGTGGGAGGAGGGCGAGGCTCTGAAAAGGGAGATGCTCAGCCCCAGGGTGTGGAAGATGGAGGCCAGAGAGGGGCTGCTCGGCGGGACGGGAGGAGTGGCCGAGGGTGGAGCTGGTGGAGCATACGGAGGTGGAGGTGGGGAAGCAGCTGGAGGCTGGAGCAGAAGCGGCGGCGCATCCTGTTGTTGCTGCTGCTGCTGCTGCTGCTGCTGCTGCTGCTGCTCCGTCTGAACCAGCAGGCCGAGTTTCTGAGGCACCGGCTGGTTGACGGCCTCCACCGCCGAAGAGGAGCTGGTGGGGGTGGAGTGAGCCGGTTCCTGTCCAGATGGAGCGGAGTCCGACTGCTGCTGGCTAGAGCTGGACGCCTGGCTCGGCCTGGAGGGAGGTCTGGGGATTAGACCCCACCTTCTCATGCGGCGGACGGCTCGGCGGACGAATCGAGGCCGGCGTCTGCGGTGTGGTGAGTTAGCGGCGTCCTGGCGAAGGAGCTGGAGAATTCCCCTCAGAGAAAGAGACGAGGTCTGAAACGGAGAGCGGAAAATCAAGTTAAACAACCGCTTGGGAACGTAGACTTCGTATAACATGGACTTAGTCTCAGTGATGTCGCTCACTGGTTTCAGAAGAGGCATTATGAAGCCCAACAATGGCAGTCTCCATATCTCGCTGCAGATAAAGAGGTGGAGCCGAGGCAGGCCTTAAGCCAAACAACTACAACAGACGTGCCACACCACACCCCTGACTAGGTAAATGCCTGCAGAACGCTTAACCTAAATGTAAGTTATGAAGTTATAGCCCCCCTCTTCCAAGTTGTCATGAATAGAGAGATGAGCTGATGAGAACAAAACATCATATTTTAACATGAGATTGGTTTTTGGGGTAAGCCTCTAGTGGACACATAAGGAACAACAGTTTTCTGCAGTAGCTGCATTTTCCACTCAGGAAGTTGCTGCTTGCTTGAGATCCCCAACAGTTGTTTAAATTATTAGAAATACCAAACAAGTCTGGATCAAAGTCCAGTGAACAAGTTTGTGGCTTTTCAAACTCAGTCGTTTCCGTATGATGGGATTTGGCAAACACTTAATCCCTACCGCCTCCGTTACCTCATGTGCCCTCCCCCACAAGTTATAAAGCACCTTAGTGTGAACCAGCACAGTCGCAGCACATTAGCGCCGTCTTAATTCTCTTCCCTCTGCAGCCCACACAGCCTGCTGGGGATTAATGAGGCTTCTGAAGGGAAGCACGTGAGTTTTAGATAAAACAAGGGCTACAGTAGATTAACATGCACTCTTAAAAAGTCAAGGAATGAGCAGATCAGCAGTGAGACCCATTCTGCTTTAAAATGTCAACTAAATCAAACATGTTGAAACTTTTAAAAGTTCATTCATAAATGTAAAAATCAATGCTCTTGTGTCCAGCAAACAGCACAGAACCCAAAAACTAAAAACAAAGAACATCAACAGATCCTTACTTATCACAATTAATTTTTGTGTGCTGTAGATCAACAAATTGCTGCAGCTCCGTTTCAGATTGTCTCCAGTTTGGAGAGGGTGTTTGGGTTGACAGTACTTTTAAATAATAATAATCCAGGATGGATTCGAGCCTCGGCTGCCCACCTGGAGGACCACAGCCTCTGCACATGGGGTGCACACACTAACCACTAGGCTACTGGCACCCCCACTCGGTACTAATTTGAAGCAACTCCACTAAAGACCGTGTCTGAAACTCTAAATGCATCAACCTAAATCGCCTTTAATCATCTTTTGATCTGCTCTATGAAATTGTGAAAAATAACGTCGTGTATCCCTGCAGACTGCTTCTACTTCCTGCGGCGCTCTATTCTCTCACCTCGTTGGGGTTTTCTGTGGGGAAGTCCTCCACAGGGGGGATGATGCCCTGGGCGATCAGCTGACCGTAGGAGGGCGGAGCCTGCTGTTGAATCAGTTCCGCTTCTTGGCGGCTAATTGGAGCGAACAAGCTGTAAGGAAGGAAAAAAAAAACATATAGAGCTGAATCATCACACTCAGGAAATTTGGATTTATGCTGTGAAGCTTTCATCATTTAAACAACTTTTATAGCTTCATTTTTAAAGAACATTACCACCAACAACTCACTCCATGTGTTGCTTTTGTTTTTAAGTTTGCACTTCATAAAAAAGGTTTCTCTTCTTCTTGTAGTACACATGAAATAATCGTCTTTGGCCGAGACAAATTGTACGTGGGTTGCTCACACTTAACAACGATCTGATACTTTTTGTTCCTCTTCTAAAAAGCAGAGAGAGCAGCGTTCTGGCTCTGTGGTGAGAGGCTCTGCTTTGTGTTTGAAAGCCGATGTCTGGCAGAGCCGAGGCTTGAAGTGAGGAACACAAACTGGTGACTCACTCTTTCAAATTTATAGAACAGAATCTGGTTACGGCACAAGAAGCAGCCTTTAAAAAAAGGAGAGCGGATAGTCAGATAAATACTTCAGTATATGAAACACTAAACGTTTACCTGTATTCTCTGGTCCTGAGCGAGTACAATTTACAGGTGCAGCCCATGGCGATAACAAGCAGAAGCCCGCAGACTAAGCTGCCCACTGTTGCCGCGGTGATGACCTTGCGGGGCAGGATGACGGTGCAGTTGAGCTCGTCCGTTCCGTCCTTACAGTCCACCTGGCCGTCACAGCGCCAGCTCTCAAACACACACCTGTAGACGGGACAAAGGACCATTTGTGTGTCAGAATGGGCAACAAAAAAAAAAAAACAGGAGTGGAGCTGCATACTGAGGGGCTGCTATGAAGTCATGTTATTAAAACCACATGACATATAAACCATACTACCGTGCATGATTTGGTGCTGTTGTATTAAGCGTATGTTAACTTGCAGATTATTTGAGGTAAAAAAATAATAATAATAATAACTTGCATATTAAAAAAAAATGCAGCTCAACAGTTTACCCACAAAACTACACCGACTCGAGTTTTGGTCCCATGTTGACTTCAATCAATCCATTCTCAGACGGACACACCCTCTGACTCACACCCTTCTGTTACAGACAAATCACTCCCTCATGACTGACCTGACAACAATGACGACTCATTTAACAGAACAGTTTGTAAAGAAACAAAAACAACAGCAGCTGGGCAGTTACGAACTAAAACGTTCACGACAAAAGGCAGAAAGGAGCCTTAAAAATCAACCTGTAAAATCTAAAATAACCAAAAATAAAAGCGGCGCTGAGAAGTAAAGGTTGAACATCTAGAGCTCCAACACAACTCAGTGTGCTGATGAAAAACAGATTTGAAATGTTCTTTTGAGGTTGATTTATTTTGTCAACTTCTGTTCCAGAGGTCGAGAAGAAAGACTGACGTTCAGCTTCAACTCATTCAGGAGAATAGTTGTGAATTTTCTGACATGACAGTGTTCCACTCTGCAAGTTTTCAGACTTAATCTCTCCCGCGTACTGACCTGTCGCTGTCACAATGAAAGGTCCCCGGCTGGCAAACGGTGCAGTCCCTCTCGTCGCTGCCGTCGGCACAATACAGCTGGTAGTTGCATCGCTCCGAGACCGGGTAACAAACCGGCCTGCCCGCATAATGACTGGACGACACGGCTCTCTGCCCCGCCATCCCGCAGGCGAACTGATTCAGGTTGCAGCCCCTGCATCCCTCCTCGTCCTTCCCCGTCTCGGGACAGTCCCACTTCCCGTCGCAGCGTTGCTCCTGGGTGAAGCAACCTCCAGCGGCTCCCCCACAGCGGCCCTCCCAGGGGGGGCAGTAGGTCCCGACGTGGAAGGTGGCGTTGAAGCCGCTGCCCTCCGAGCCTGGAAGAGTCTCGTAGGTCATGGAGAGCCGGCCGGTGTGGGATTCAACCTGGACTGATTTGTAATTGGAGGCGCTGGTGATCTGTCAAAACACAGGGAAGGGACAATATGTTATCAAAACATTCTCTTCATATTATTTAGGTTCATATGTTTGGATGCTTTTTTAAAGTAAAGGTAATATACTGTAGAAGACACTCACAATTTTAATAACGTCCCCTTTGCCTTGCTCTCTGTTGAACACGGTGAGTCGATCCCCGGGTCCTAAAACCAGCTGCTGCAGGTCCAGTCTCAGGGGCCTGGAGTCCTGCGGGTCCAGAGTCCAGATGCATAACATTGCCGGGCCGCGGATGGTTGGAGGAGAGAAGGTCCCGTAGAAGGTCTGCAGGAGTCCTCCGCAGGGCCACTCGATGGGGGCGGGAGTAAAGGCCGGCTCCCGGCGAGTCTGAGACTGCTCTCGATCCAACTGCGCCTCCTCCGCTGCCCGCGCCTTCAGCTGCGCCCAAAGATCAGAGACCGTATCGATCTCAGGCGTCTTCTCGGCTGCGTCTCTGTCGTTGTTTCGCTCGGTGATCGAGTCCGCTCTGACGTCTACGGCCGGTGTGCCGCTAAACTTGAGCAAGGGCTCGGGGGTTTCTTCTTCGTCTAAATCACAGCCCTGCTCATCTGTGCCGAGGCCGGCGGCTTCATCGAGACACTCCACCTGACCGTTACAACGCCATGAGAGAGGCAGGCAGCGACCCCCAAGGCACTCGAAGGATGTCACTGGACACTCCCCGGAGTCTGGAGGTGAAGAGATATGAGAAGAAGAACGATTATAAGAAAAGAAATAAGATTTTCATTACACAAGATGAATGGGAAGAAACCAAACAGAAGATTTTCTATACCTGAATACCAGATTATTTCCTAAATTTTTTTTTTAATTTTATAAACCTCAAAACACAAAAATGCAGAACACGTGGATTGTAAAGCCACAAAAAATGCAAGCAAAATGAAAATGATTCTTTTATGAGTGAGGTTTGGTTGGTGAAAATAAAATGATGTGTGTTTCTTGAACGATGTAAAGCATGTGTATTTTAATGTTCAAGTTAAAATATTAAATCATTAGATTTTTAAAATACTGGAATTGAACTTGTCTGTTTTCTTGTGTGTTAAAGACATGTTTGATATTTGGTTTTATTCCGTTTTGTTTGGTCGTTCTATCTTGACTTTTGCTGTTGATACTTGAAGTGTGTAAATGATATCTTATTCCATTAACAGCAACAGCAACAACAATCACATCAAGCTATCCTACCTCTGGCGTAATTCAACAGAAAGGACGATACAGGGAACTGATGCGGGAGGAAGTGGTGCGTCACTGAAATATTTCCCCCTGGGAACTCCATTGGCTGCGGCAGCTTGGAGCCACAAAGGACGACCGGATCTCCACCAGCTGAGGATTTTATCGTCACCCATTCCTTCCGACAGCGAGCCGAGAACTGAGAGAAACTGAGAGAGGATTTATAGGAAACAATCAGCCAAAATACAAAACCACAGAAGAGGCAGCAACTGAAACTAATGTGAGACAATATAACCAATATAAAGAGAATGCCTCAAACAATAAGCAGGATAGCTTTCTACTTATGTTTCTCGATTGATCTGTTGTTTAAATTACAAAAAAACCTCTCCCTGTCTTTTTCAACTAATCTCTAACAGTGTATCTATTTTTTTTTTTTAGATCCAATTGTTATGGGTTCTATATAATTCACAACATTAAATCTTTAACAGAGAACAGCAGCAGATTAAGTTTTCCATCACTATCAATGAAGTAAATACTCTCAATAATTTGTGCAGCTGTTCTGATCATATCATCTACAAGAAATAAAGATCAATTCAGTAGTTTTATCCCAGGTGGCATCTTGTTTGGGCCTAATCATTTTTAATTAGTGCGTTTACCTTAAGACAATAGGTTCACCTTCCACCCCCTTGATGATCCAGCAGTCGTAGGTTGAGCCAAAGCGGTAGGACCAGCTGTGATAAGCTGAGCTCCTGATCTCTCCCACTTTACTGTCTAAGACCTGGAGGGAGTGCCCACATCGGGCTGGAGAAACAACAAGACCAAGGAGAGAAGGTTTGATGCAAAAGAAATCCTGTTTTTCATGCTTTAGGTGTCAGTATGTAGAGCGTAACCCAGAGAAAATGTCAGGGGCGGACTATTTATACTTCAACTTTCATTTCATTACACAAATGAAGCTTAAATGTATCATATAATAGTTGGATATAAATGTTTCAAAAAGTAGGACAGCACATAAACGAGTTAAACTCAAGAAAAAGCGAGATTTATTCAGGCTGTTTTGTAGTTAAGAGAAAAGTATAAAACTTGAGCGGAACATTGAAAAAGCCTCTATGCACACATGTTACATGAGATAAGTGCTGACAAGTTTGCGTCCTTACCGGAGCAGAGGGCAGGCTCAAGACGGCTGCACGCTGAGGATGAAATAAGCACAAACACAGCGAGTCAGGCAGGTGTGTCATCAATCGTCACCACAGAGACAGAGCTCGTAAACGATGTACGACACGAGTAGTGCAAACACGACCTTTCCTCGATAAGCACTCAAAGCAGGCGCCTTACATAGACACACAAACAAACGTTTAATACGTATATATCACCAATCTGTACATGTTCACTCACCTGTTATGGTGAAAGCTAGGAGGGCACAAAAGTTGTAAGTGAATGTCATCGTGGAAATGATGTCAAAACTGAGGGCTTAAAGGGGTTTTAAAAAAAAGTCAAAAGTGCCATTTTTGGAGACTTCGCTTCAGGAAGACTTCCCCTGCAGAGTGAAGAGAGAAGAGGAAGAATTAGACCTCGTGCTTTTGGCTTCATAATGTACACACTCAGCATCTCTGACAACAAAAACACACACTATCACCACGTCATGATTAGGGCTAAAACATTAGATCGATGATTTTAATGCGATAAAAACCTGTTACACACATCATTCATCAATAGGTAAATGTCATCGACAAATGTTTGCCAGCTTGTCGATGTGTTTCTTTTCGGGGGTTTTCAACTTCTGTTTGACAAAATAAGCAAGTTGGAAGAAAGTTAACGCTGCCTGCTGAAACGTCTGACAGGCAAATTTCATCATTTATATTCACAAGGAGGAGCACGAGTGATCCCCACCACCCAGGTAACAGACTGTTTACGTGGCTACCCTCTGGCAGGCGCCTTCGACACATCAAGGCGAACACAGACAGACTCAGAAAGAGCTTCTTTCCTCAGTCTGTCCAGACTCTTAACTTTACTCTCCTCAGTTAAGAACAAAACAGAACAAAACAGAACTGTGATTACATGATGCACACACACCACACATTCCAATCTGCAAATTGTACTTTGACACCCTGGGCACTTTACACTGTTACATTACTCTATATATTCATTTACATTATTCTATATTCAAATATTTCTCTTTTTAAATTTTACATTCTATTTTACTGTATATATGTGTATTAGTAGTTTGAGTGTTTATTGCACGGCCTTGCGGAACAGTCTTTACATTTCACTGCACATCTGTATGAGCATGTGACAAGTAAAAATCTTGAATCTTGAATCTACACCTAGATATTGTACAGAAATGTGTAACAGAATACTCACTTACAAGTCATTACTCAGCAGTAACGACCGGTATCGATAATAATAACATGTATCTTTTTCCATCTTAACGCAACAGATTAACTTCAAAGTCAACTTTATTGTCAATTTCAAAATATGTGGAATCGAAATTGCGTTTGTCTCCGTCCCGCGGTGCAATACAACCAAAATAAGGTAAAATAAAATGAGTTAAAAATAAGATAAATGATATTTACAGTAATAAATTCTAAATTGTGCAACAGGTACAAAAATGGTAAATACAATTTAAAGAAAAAAAACACTTCATATTTGTGTGACACTCAATGTAAGTCATTTTTAGCTTATCCAGCCGAGTATTCACACTTCAGACACAATTATCAGATGTGTTAATAGTATACGAGTGCTTGGATTAAAAGGGGGAAACTGCCTGGAACCAAAAACATAATGAAGCCTCTATTGTTATATTTCCTCTCTGACACACACACACACACACACACACACACACACACACACACACACACACACACACACACACACACACACACACACACACACACACACACACACACACACACACACACACACACACACACACACACACACACACACACACACACACACTCTCTCTCTCTCTCTCTCTCTCTCTAAGCCTCTCAACAATGACGTCACACATTTCCGTGATTAAACCACCGCCGAAACCGAAACACAGTTTTTTTTTAAGTCTCTCTGTAATCCACAGTAAAGTAAAATCTCCAGAGTGACGGACTCAGACTTAACTTGTCCCCCTACAAGTTAAGATAACACTACGAGACAGTTTGGTTTTGGGGGGGGGGGAGAAGGAGGGAGCAGCTGCTTGCCCTCCTCAGTCACAAGCGCTTTAACAGCTAGCCCACTGGCGAGCTAGCTGCTAACGCTAACATCCTGAACATCCTGAAAAACGCGTTTTTTCGGGACTCGACATCACAAGAAAATGTCTCAGAGCCCCACACGGAGGGTTTCAAGACAAAAAGAGGTTACAACATGTCGGGTAGAAGCGATAACGCCATGAGAAAATCGTATAAAAAGAGAGAGCAGGAGGCAAGTACGTTACCATGTCAGTCGGCCTTTCTTGTTGACAAGTTTGGACTCACTTCCGCGTGTTATTGGCTCATGCTGAAAAGGGGGGCGGGGCTTAACTTCCATTTCCCCCCCATTCATAAAACTCTTCTTTCTTTCAAATACACTTTGTAATTATCACTGATTATGAGCGTTTTTCGGATCACTACGCAAAATGTACATGTTAGTGTGTTCATACGTGGAGGATAATGTCTGACAGAAAAGAAGATAGGTTGAAATGTTTCACTTTAAACACAAGGTGTCACTGTGGCTCCGCATAAAAATCAGGTAATTCACAAAACCATGGCAGGTATGAAAAACATCAATTTGTTACTACATTTTCATAAGAACTGTGCCTGCATCTTTATTTCTTCCACTTAGGTATTATAATCCTCAGAAAGTATTTTCTGATAATACAATGACTCAATGTTGTGCCTTTAGGTAGACTACACTGCAGTTCTTGGATACAATCAATCAAACTTTATTTATATAGCACCTTTCAGACAAATTAAATTGCAGTTCAAAGAGTGCAGAAAAGTTGTTGACAAAAAGTAGTTTATAAAATCATTGAGAGACTAATGCACACCAATAATAATTAAAAAAAATATATGTATAAAAATAAAATAAAATAAAATAAAATAAAATAAAATGAAATGAAATGAAATGAAATGAAATGAAATAAAATAAAATAAAATAAAATAAAATAAAATAAAATAAAATAAAATAAAATAAAATAAAATACGACACATAAAAGCAACAAGATATTAAAATAAATACATAAGAGGAAAATATTTAAAATTGTCGTCGGATTAAAAAAAAAGACAATACAGTAATGTTAAGATTTGAATTGATATTAAAACACTATATAAAAGCCAGACTGAATAAACGAGTTTTAAGACTGCGTTTTAAAAAATCTCGATATTTAGTCAGGGTAAACTTTAAAGATTCTTGTTAATGATACAAAATATTATTAAAAAAATATGATACGATGCTCTCTCATCGATATGGTAAGGCATACAGCGGACACAACATTAAAATGTGAAGTTGATATCAGTAAAGACACTTTTACAAATGTTAAATTATAGGCTAATAGTGGGGGTTTACGCCTACTTCTAAAGTATTATTTGTAGACTTGTATTTACCACCAAGGCTATCATTATTTTTAATGAATCGGCATGTAAGGAAATAAATCTGCTCAGCTGTTTCCCAGCAGACATGAAAAAAAAAAATGACGTCTGCACATCTGGAGGAGGACCCAGAGGAAAATCTCTCTCTCCCCCTTTCTCTCTCTCTCTCTCTCTTCTCCTCTCTCTCCTCTGACCACGTCCACAAACGCTACATACAAACCCAAGCAGAGGAAAAGAGGCCAAACTATGAAGCTATAGCGATACCTAGCTGAGCATTTGTCACAGCTGCTCCATGAGTTTAACGTTTTGTTCGGCGCTTTCGTCTCAGCTCTTACTTTGAAAAGCTCGCTTTGCTGCCCGGTGCGTTCAAAGAGTCCACGCGGTTCCGAGAAAAGAAGTTTCTTCCACGATTTTCAGAGAAGTAGCCTATACCGAACTTTTTTTGGGGTTTTTTTTTTTTTTTTTTTTTGTATATTCGTCGTTTTGCTGTCAGGACGACGGGACCGGTGTAGAAACAGTATTTTGTTTTGTCTTCGGGGGGGAGGTAGTTTGAGGGAAAGAAGAATGCTGCTCCAGCTCCTCACCCTGGCCTGTGGTCTCTGCTGCATTGGTTTTACCTCAGTCTCTGCAGATGTACTAAAAGCAGAGGTAAGTTGGAAAAACACAATCCAGACACTTCAAAACAATGCAAATTAATGTTAACCTGTTTCTAAAAGCTTGTTAAGCAAACTGTAAAGACATGTATGATTTGCATTTTCCATTTTTGTAACTTATTTTTGTAGTTTCCCTTTATTTATTTTCCTTAATATCCCTCCAGGATGTGTATTTTTTTAGTGTTCCATAGCCAAAACTAAACTTAAAACCATCTATTACAGTGCATTTGTAGCCCAATGTTTCAGTAACTCTCCATTTAGTGCAGTTCTTCTGGTGTCTGTAGTGTCTATTTAATGTTTACCAGGTTTTCTCTAATCTTGCAACAGAACCAGAAAAAGGGTGGACTGTTTATGTTCCCTTCATGTTTATTCTCACTCCTCCAAACAGGCCTGACCTTTCCGCACTAAAAGCTGCTTAAAAGGGTCGAAACTGTAACAGGAGATGAGAGAAAAAAATGTCATGAGTCTGAAGTCTTGTGGCTTTGGGGAAGGAGGAGGCAGAAACCTCAGCTGAGATGCTTTGTTCTGGGTTAAAAAAAAAAAAAAAAAAGAAATAAGGGTGGTGGTGGTACGGGGGAGGGGGTTAATGGTTTTCATCTGCTTGTGTGTGTAGACTGCACAGGCCTTTAAGCTGCATTCAATACTAGCCAGACATGAGCCCTCGGGCTGTTAAACTCTGATCTGGAGACACTACAATGTCGTCTAACCTTTGCCTGAACAACATATTGTATCATCAGGTATTGTGCATCATTGTAAATGACTGGGCGTGAGCACCCTTGGGAGCCTCTTTGCTCTCTATAGGTCGCCCCAGAGCGTGTTTAATGTGAGTATTTACAGCACTGCACCAGTGTTTAGTCACATCCAGTGATGCTTTCAGGAGTAGCAGTTCCTCTGTAATAACCAGGATGCTCTAGCTGTCTCAGGAAATTGATTCACGACGTCAAAAAAGTCCATGAACCTAAAAGCAGGTTAAGTTACACAAGTATCATGAATGCTGTAGTTTGTGTGGACAGGATGCAAGAAGGAGGACCTTAGTCACTGACCACAAGCGACTGGCGCGTGAGTCAAGCCAGACGTGGTGGATAACTCACAGACAGTTTACAAGAGGCCCTCCTGCGGCGGACTCACCGGGGCAGTGATGAATGTCTGCGAGCTAAACCATTTGCAGGAGTTTAGCTGTAGGATAATACCTCTAATACAATAACCAACATCGAGTGCATGCCCCGCCTGCTCCTGTGCAAAGTTTAAAAAAAAAAATCCACTCTACGCCGACGATACAATGCTTTCAGACACATAATTCAATCCTGATGCTGAAAGAGGATAAGAGTAATTACGGGTTCAGGATTACATCACCAGGGAAATGTTTGTGCACCCTGTGATCAAAAGACAGACATGTTTGGAGAATGCAAAGACAGAACAACATCAGAGTGACATAAATGTTTAATTAAAGTGGATGAAACTCCTTTAAGGGGTTTGTGTAAGGAGAAGAGGATTTCTTGTTGTTCATCAGCGTTGCTTAACATCTGAAAATCCCTCCTTGACTTCTTTCTTGACAAACTCATCCTGCTTAATCCACGAAAAAAAAATACTTACTCTCTGAAAAGACGCTACCTTTGCGGCCTCCGGCATCTGTTTCCAGTCATCCCTTCTTTCTTTTTTTTTTGCCTTGTCTAACCTTTCTTCACTTAAATAAAAAGCTTAGTCGGACCTTGTGAGCAAAGGAAGTGGGCAGCAAAGAAAACAACAGGGCCTAAAACAGGATCTCTCCATATCTGGTTTGAGATTTCCTGTTGCCATCTGGAGACACATGTCTGCTGATCCCATGCAGGTCTGGTTAAAACACATATGGCTTCGATTCTCTCTCTTTTTTTTTTTTATCTCGACTTGAGTGACTGTGAATGAAGCATCAAAAGAAAGAATCACTGCAGCGTGCTGCTCATTGCAGGCTGCGGTAGTCACTTTAGAAATGTCAAAATAATCAGCTGGATCGACCTTAATGAGAAACTGATGGACTTCAAGGGAGAAAGGGAGGCTTATCTTTGCCTGACACTCAAAATATAGTCCTCCATGTTCGTATGAAGGACATGAAAGAGAACAAGTTTTCAGCATGACGTTCGAATTTCAGGTTTTTTTTTAAAGGATGCATTCAAGACTTTTGGTTTCAGGTGGTTGATTAAACTCAACTCCAAGGCCAGATGTTGCTTGATCTTCTAGTTTTCTGACCTTCTGTTAGAGGAAGATACCTGAACAGATCTTTCCACAGATCCCAGACAGTGGTGGAATAAACTTGTTTCCCACTTCATATCAGAGGGAATTACTGAATTCCTTTAGCGATTTCACACAAAAAAAGTCAAAATGTACTGTTCCTTTAAGAATTGAAGCGTCGCCATAATGTAACTAAAGCAGTATAAAACCCTTGGAACACATTTACATGATTGCTTCCATCAATGAAAAACATTTTAAAGTAGTTGACGTAAAGCCTGATTTGAATCTTAATTTGATATTAATTTCACTTTTATTGTCTCCTTCTGCTGATGGAGTTTGCTAAGTGGTCATGTGGACAGCTCAGTTTTTATCACATGACCCAAGATGGAGCGATTGCTGTCGAACTCCAAATACAATATAAATGCATCTTAAAGATCTTGTAATTCGATATATACGAAAAATCCATTTTGTCTCAGGATTGCTTTAGTGTTTTAGTATTTTTGCCATAGCAGTATTGCTTTTGTCTTAAGTAGAGTAGTTCTCCATCATGTCTTAAATGGCTTGAAACCCTGGCTATGACAACAGTCTAAAATGGTCATGAATCATCTTTTTATAGCCCACATGACAAATAATCAAGTTGTTTTGAAGAGATTTGAAGTCTGGACAATGAAGCCATATCTGAAGCTTGATCCAAAGGCAACTGGACTGGTTGAAGATAAGACCATGACCTGGATGACTGAGAACCTCCACAGACAATAAATCCTATCCTCAAACTCTAAACTGAGACCAGGACGAATATTCAATAAAGTCAGCTAAATGACTTCAGGTTTAAAAGTTTAAGCTATTACTGTATGCATAGTGGAATTTTACAATCGGAAAATCTGAAATCAAAATAACTAATTCTCAACACAATAACTCTCTTGCATTAAGAGCTTCCAGAGCAGTACTAACACCATCTTAATGTTGTAAATTCTCTTGATGAAGCTGATATCATACTCAGTTTGTTGTATTTTTAATGCTCCTTAAGTGTTTTCTTTGCAAAGTATTGCAATAAAGTATTGCAAATAAAGTGAATGCAGAGCAGTAATAAG